GGTTGTGTTGACTGTTTGGATGTGGTTAAAGGTTGTGTTGACTGCTTAGATGTGGTTAAAGATTGTGTTGACTGTTTGGATGTGGTTAAAGGTTGTGTTGACTGTTCGGATGTGGTAGGAGTTTGTGTTGACTGTTTGGATGGGGTAGGAGGTTGTGTTGACTGGTTAGATGTGGTAGGAGGTTGTGTTGACTGTTTGGATGTGGTTCTAGGTTGTCTTGACTGCTTAGATGTGGTTAAAGGTTGTGTTGACTTTTTAGATATAGTTAAAGGTTGTGTTGACTGTTCGGATGTGGTTAAAGGTTGTGTTGACTGTTTGGGTATGGTGGGAGGTTGTGTTGACTGTTTGGATGTGGTTCTAGGTTTTGTTGGCTGTTCGGATGTGGTTCTAGCTTGTGTTGACTGTTTTGGTATGGTGGGAGGTTGTGTTGACTTTTCGGAAGTTGTAGGAGTTTGTGTTGACTGTTTGGATGTAGTGTGAGGTTGTGTTGACTTTTCGGATGTAGTGGGAAGTTCTGTTGACTGTTTGGCTGTAGTGGGAGGTTGTGTGGATGATGTGGTGGGAGGTTGTGTTGACTGTTCGGATGTTGTTGCAAAGTGGCTTGCAGTACTAGCAATATTAGTAGTAGAGAGAGAAGGAGTTGGTGAAGTTGCCTGTGTTGTGGATTCAGTCGTTCGATGATGCGTTGATTGATTGTGTGTTGTTTCACGCTGCATTGTTGTTGATATTATAGTAGTAGTGGTAATAGGATTTGTTGATGTCGTCGTCCTTTGTGTTGACGGTTTTGATAGTGTTACCGCAGGATGTGTCGTAGCTGGTGTTGTAGTAGAAGTTGGAGACGTCAACTGTGTTGTGGTTTCAGAAGTTACATGATGTGGTCTTGTCGTTTGCTTTTGCATGTTTTGATGCGTAGTTTGTGGTGGTTCAGTTGTTGTTGTACCTGTGAATAAATTCTACTTTATTATTTGCACATAAGCATGTATAGTTTAAACTCAATTATTTACACTTATTTAACATTTCAATTTAAAATTAATTTTTGAAAATAATATTTTGTTCAGTGTATAAACACACTACTTTACACGTTAAATCTCTCTATACTTACCATTATAATTCTGACAGACAACACCATACCAAGGAAATGGACATATACACTGACTATAAGTTTGAAGGTTAATGCAAACTCCGCCGTGTAAGCAAGGGTCTACAGAACATGCATCGAATGCTGTAGGTACGAACACATAAATTCACTATTTATTTATTTATTTATTTATTTATTTATTTATTTATTTATTTATTTATTTATTTATTTATTTATTTATCGAACAATTGATTGGTTGATTAAACATGCATCGCTGTGGTGAAAAACATGAATTTATGATATATTGATTGATAGATTGAGCTACTGACTTTAAAAACACCATGTGATATTTTAAATAAAGCTTAGTTCATTGTGCATTTCAGAAATAATATCACTAGAAAAAACAAGATCTCACGACTGTCCTGTACCTATCAAATATATTGTTTTAGAATGAATTAATGTACATACGTTGGGTGCAGTTTTTCCCATCCCACGGTGGCCTTACACAGTTGCATCGGTACTTTCCTTCTTCTGTGCCTTCAATACATGTACCACCATTCTGGCATGGATTTGGATAACAATCATTTAACACTTAAAGCAAATCAAAAAAGAAATATTGTATTATGTATTAGATAATGTACATGACACATATTTAGTATATTCATTTATACCATGTATGAACTGTGTATATTATATTCAAAGCTACTAATGAATAAAGGTTATGAACGAGATTGAAAACAGACCTATTTATTTAAAAATAGCATCATACCTACAACTTTAAATGGTGCATTTCATGATTAGAATTGTGATACCATTTACCAACATTCACAAAACAGTGATTATAATATACGAGTTAATTAACAACTATTACTAGTATAATGCTCTTAGTCAGAACTGTATATCTGCACATCTCGTGTGTATATGAACAAAACTTACAGTGAGATACATATCACATCACATCGCATACACGTTGTTTCTAACGTCTAAGCTGTCGAGGATTTTGATAAAGGTTTCATTAAATATACGCATTAAAATTGTACTTTCAATGTCACGTGGTATCACTGAATTATTAATAAGCCAATTAGAGAACATAGTTAGTGCTGCACGTTGTGCAATTGCTTGATAAATATTTTTTTTTTCGTCTTCGGCGTTCGAAAAAACTATGGTTTTAACAGCCACGCCTCGTGCGATCACAAAATATATGTGCATAGGATTGCAACCCACTAATAGTCTTTAGATTAGTATTACAGAGTTAATGAGCAGTCTCTCGGTGATTACTGATAGTATATAGGATATTGGTGTTGTTGGTAGTTATATAAAGATGTTGTACACGTAGCAGACATGGTATTGGTACTAAACAGAATAACACGGCTAAATTGTTTTGCCTTGTAGTCAAGTTTTAACACAGTTATGATAATGTTATTTTTTAGCAGTAAGTGCTCAACAATTTGCATATAATAATTAGTAGTTATTCATTGAAAGAAGATCTACCTTTCTCACAGCGATACCCCGTATATCCAGTAAGACAAGAGCAGTACGAGTAGGATGGTGTAATAATACATACGCCACCATTGCGGCATATTCCAGGAGAACACTCACGAGCATCTACGAGTCAGAACAAATGTAGACAATAAGGCAACCTGATATTACTATAGGAGCATTTCTTATTAACTGACCACGCTGGTCTCGTTTGCATTGCCAGAAATGAGTGGACAAGATGGCCGACTTCCTGCCCTGGCCAGTGTTCCCCAGTCAAATAAACATCACAGGATGTGCCATAGAGAATGCATTGCATAAACATCTATTAAAACAAAATTTAATTTTGAGTTTATATTTTTCATTTTTTCACTTTTGTGTGCTTCGTAATAGACAGGTGACGTTCCAAGCTTTCGATATGTTATAGATGTTTTCATCAAAACTCCACCATTAAATGCCCAACTTGCCGTAAAACTTGATGATATATCCTACACTGGCCCAGTGTATTACCAATGGACGATATGTAATTGTGTGCCAAACTCTATTTTTAAAAATAGGTAAATGCAGTAATGCAGCTGACTGTTCAAGTTTGTTCGCTTCGTTCTGGATACTCTCTGGTTCAATGAACACGGCGACGCAGCAAACGCAGTTGTAGACGCAGTATTCGCTGCCCAAATTAGAGCTAAAATTCATGCATTTTTTACACAGACGTACGATCCAGTTGTTAGCAAATATAACTGTTTTAATCCAATTAACAACAGGAAGTAATCTGAATCAAGATTTAGTTTATGTCCGTTATTCCATGTTAAAAATTATCCCACTTTTCGAACGCGAAGCACTATCGCCATACTGCTTTTGATGCTGAAGGTCAGACCACAAGATCAATATATTGTATCGGCCGTTTTTCCTCTTTGTAAAAAAGGGGTTTCATCACACTGTCTGTCCGCGAGTTGTGTATTATTCTACGACAGTCTAGACTTTTGTTTTGTAATGCGTCAGACAAACGTAATTTGCATACCAATCGCCGTTGACTGCCACAATGATATTTACAGATTAGTCTGTCCACATATTTTTGTATT